ACGATTTTAACATGTTGCTCCAATTCTATATATCATTGGGGTTGATTTACTAAAAGCATTAGGCTGTTCACTTTGCAAGGGAGGTTTTCCCTTAGCCTTGTGAATGTGGTTAAATTTCACTTTGCAAAGAATGCCCAATCATGTGTAAGGAAAATAATAATAATAATTAAAAAAAATGATTTTCTTTGGATGATGGAAGTCAGTAGAGCGTTACATTATTATATTATACATAACTTAGGGGAAACATTCCCTGCACAGCTCATAGCCTATTTACCTGTAGTAAATCAACCCCATTGTGTCTAAAGTGTATCTAAAGCCCAAATATTTTTTTTCTATGCCATCCATGTCCCAGAAGAGAGAATTACCTTAATTTCCTTCCCAAAGAGACCACAGAAAAGTAGAGGAAATGTTTCCAAAGTAAATTACGACTCAAATATTAGACGATTCTTACTGATAGTCGGCCAATATTGGAGCCATGGGTGGACTTTTTGAGATTATCCTGCTTGACAAACGTCAATTACAAAATCAAAAAAGCTGGTTGGAAACTTGTTGGCCGAACAGTGACTGCATCAAGTAAGATGCAGTCACAGTTCAGGTATTCAGGCAGCTGTGGATGTGAGCTGTCTTAATCTGTTAGCCAGCAGCGGAGATTCCTTCATACACAGTTTATTAATTATTTTAAAAGCCTAGTCTTAAATTGAAAGGACTTTTCTGAAGAAGTTGAAGCCATGTTGACAACAGGTATATCATTTTACATCTGCAATTAATTCCAGCAGCACAATTGTATTATCTACACCCTCATCTACTGTGGTTTCATTCTAGTGTATTAACTCTATAACAGCAGTGCCAGGCTTTAATATGATTTTCTTGTACTGAAATCTTGTAAATTAACCCAATTAGCTGAGAATCATCCTGCTAATTAACTGGTGTGGTTCTGGTATGGAAATTTTGAAACCAAGAAGAGTCAGTGGGGAATCGAGTTGCCACATTGTTGGCAAACTGTCTCTTGCTTAAGATCTTGTTGTGTGTCAAGTGAAACACTAATGGCTTTTCAGCAGAACAGATCAACATCAAAAGATTTAGGAAATATCAAACTGATTGTTATGGGCTATCTGCAAACTGATTTAATTTAAAATAAGCCAGGGGACATGAATGTGTCACTTAGCAAGACAGCTGAATATCCAGGAATCCAAGACAATCAATTATTTAAAATGTTGTCTATAATATGTAGCAGGCCTCTATATGAAATTGATTTGTAATGGATATATAACCCCCACAAGGAAAAATAAAGTTAAACACCAGGCAGATAAAATAGACACAAATCCATTTTTTTTAAGATTAATTTATACTCTATTAGATTTTGTTTAATGCAGGCAGTGCAAGTACTTGAATTTGATTTGATATCAGCTTCTTGCATCCATGCACAACAGACCTCAGACTGGGAGAGGGACATGCATCTCAGGGAGCCAGTCAGCTTTTTAAGCTGTCAAAAAATAAATAAATAAATAGAAAAGCCAGCCAGTTCAGAGTTTCAGCCTTTTAGTCAGGCACCATTGCAGTGCACAAGGTAATTGTATATATAATGTTGGGGGGTTTTACGTCATTTTCAGGCCTAAAATGTGAAATATAACATGGGTGCAAAAAATTAAAAAAGGGCCTCAGTCATGAAGCGGTTAATCTGCCTTGTTGCTGATAACCTGGTGCTCTGGCCACACCGTGTTCTGTCCGGTTCCTTGGTGCATAGAGTAACTCCACCACCACGGTTGCTGTGGAGAGTTGGCGGTTGGGTCATCATGCTGATGATAACACCTAACACACTTCACTGTCACAATTAGGATTCCTATATGTTTTACACACCTCTTCTCAATTTACTGTTGGTTTTTTGAAATCTTGCCCAACCATCCACACTGTTCCTGGCCCCTGTGCCTTCACTGTTACCTTCTGTAGCTGCCTTGGCCCATCCGTTGTCATTCAGCATGTTGAAGAGCAATCTGAAAGGCACAAGGTAAAACTTTAAATATTTGAAAATGCTGAGCACTTCCTGGTTTTGGCCAAACCAGGTCCTGAGTTTACATTATTGAGCTTGGCTATCCCACTTTGGGTGAAATAAAAGTTTTTTTTCTTCATTTTCTGTTTAGTTCAGCCAAATGACCATGGTCACCTGTGTTCTCCTTATATTTTTATGAATAGTCAATTTTAAGTCAGAGGGCATGGAGAAACCCCTCTATAAAAATACACGACGCACTGAGAATGGGGATAATAGTTGCTGAATAGGTAATACTTGATTTAAACATTTGTGCTGAAGGTGGGAGAAGATCACACCACCCAAAAAAAACAGGCAATAGTAGACACCTGGAACAGTGATCTATCCCTGCTCCATTTCTACCAAAACTTGCTTGTGTTTTTCCCTTAAAGGAACATTTCCAAAGACATACATAAGTAGCTTTTGTGAGATGCATTTAATATGTTATTTTCTACTCACATTTTCCTATAAAAGCTAAATTTGTACATTTGGTTATATCTTACATAGTTACATAGTTAGTCAGGTTGAAAAGAGACACAAGTCCATCAAGTCCAACCTATAGAGATACAAAGAAACAGAACACTATGCCCACAATTACCCAATTTCTTCCTTGTAAGACACCCTGTTTCAGATGTGGCTGATTTTGCTGACTTGAATTTTGTGACTAGGGACGTTCAAACCAATGCTAAAGGACTTTCTTTGCGAGAGTACCCTCTTTTAACCTCAGCACAAGTGGATTGAGCAGCACAAACAGCATATTATCCATTATCTAGATTCATTTTTGCAGCTTTTAGCTGTTTGACCAGCAGTGGAAAGTGATTCCATAGCCCCATCCTTTTTGGTCTCCCTCGGAGTCTATTTAGTTACAGCTGCAGCATAAACCAGCAGGGGAATTGTTAATTGTTAGGGTACTATAGTGATTGTAGTGACAGCATCTGCAGGGGACAATTGTGTTAGAATCTGCCATGCAGCCTGGGTCCCTGAAACCCCTAACCAAGCTCCAGATGTGTGCTTGTACTATGCTGCCCATAATCTAGCGTTGTAGAAATCTTTAGAGATCTGGACACAATTGTTTACATTTCAGGTTTGCAATATGCTCTGTGCAATTTGCTAACACATTGACAGCATTTGTAGATTTTAAAAAAATCCAAAACAAAGCTCAATTTACAGCCCCAAGGTCTTTTGAACTTGTCACTGTAGTGAAGCTGGTTTTCAGCAGCGACTGCGGAACAAAATCCCTCTTTTATATTGATTTATTTCCGTCCTTTTTCTGTTACTGATAAATGGGATTCCTTCCTCCTTTTCCTTTCTGTTTCACTTCACTTACCTTTAATTTTCCTGTTTTGTTAACCTTTCTTCTATCTCCTTTCCTATCATTCTTTTTTTCCTGTTCATATTTTAATTTTTTACATTCTCTCTCTCCTCCTTCTTTAATAATGGCAAACAGCATTTAAAGTGAATTATAGTCCTTTGCATATAGAGTGCTTTGGACAGTGTCAATGGTGGACTTACTTAAAGCCTATATCCGGGAAAACAAACTACTCTTGCAGTGGGGCCTCTGTACTGCCAGGGTTAAGTGCTGGTGGCCCACTGCTATAATCACATTCAATGCATGGCCCACAGCCCTGCATTATATGTGAGAATGCCAAGGTACAGTGCACATAGGTGAGAGAGGTGAGCACCGACTGCCAAGAGAGCGGGAATCAGGTAAATAAAAACAAGCAGTTAACCCTTGCAGTGTGGGGGTAGCCCCACTACAAGGGTAGTTTTTCCCCAGAGATAGGCTTTAACTATATTCATATGTAACATTTTATAACTTTAGTAATAGCAGCAACATTTCACAATATGCAGTGGCAGAATTTCCTCTATATTTTTGTGCTATTTGTATGTGTTTTGCACCAAAAATCTATTCAATGGCCTCCAGCTGTAACAGCTAGAGGGCAAAGCTGATGAACTTTTAGGGGGTTAGTGCAATTTAATACCTGGACCCTAGAGATGTTCTGGAGAAACAATCCAACCCACATGCATTGCTTGTTTTTTTTCTCCCAGTGGTTTGACAACAGAGCTCAGGAGCAGAAAGAAAGCAGTTGTAATTCATACCAAGTTGTAGGCTTTGTGTGATGAAAGCGACAGACCGCTGCCTGGAAGATTGCTTTGCTGCACTCCACGAAGCAGATTTGAAACTGTCGTGGACCACTTTAGATGAGAGTTGGATTATGGAATGACCTGCAATGTCTGTGTCATATTGTTCTGCACAGGGTGCATTATGCTGCGCTAACTAGGTGTTCAGCACCAAATAAGAGAGGTATCCTAGATGTGATCTGTCAGCTGTGTCTAATATTTTTAGATTGGGGGGAAAAAGAAATATAAAACTGAAAGTGATATTGTAAAGACAGAACAGCTGCATACAGTAAAGCATCAGGAAATTAACTTGTTATATATTTTTTCAAAGTTATGTCAATCTCTTGCAATAAATTTAGAAGCTGGTAGTGTCAAAGTGCATTACAAAAAGTATGTCAAAATAAGGAAAAGAATTATTGATAATGATGAAAAAATTATTTGTCTGTATGTGTATATATATATATAAAACCCCTTTTAAATTAGTGTTTTGCTAAATTATTGTTAAAACATGAAATTCATAGTAAAACATCTCTAAAAAAGCTTTAAGATGCACAAGTGTAATAATTCTAAAATGTTTCCTTTTATCTTTCATGAATAGGCCATCTTGTTTTTACACAACTATACACAGGGCTTTTTAAGTAAAAAAAAATTACATAATAACGTGCTGAAAACCATAGTAAACAATAAGTATGCTTTACTGATTTAACATTGGTAAACTGAAACCTGATTGGTCAATGTTCCTTATTGCAAATTGGCATTGCTTTTTGTAACACCTGAAAAAGTTCACATATCAAAAAAAAAAAAAAATTGTATTAACAAGTATGTTGATTTTTAAATTATTGTGTTTTTTTAATAGGCTTGAAGATGCAGTGGACGCCGGAGCATGCTCAGTGGCCAGAACAGCATTTCGATATAACTTCAACCACTCGGTCACCAGCCCACAAAGTGGAAGCATATCGCGGCCACTTGCAGCGTACCTATCAGTATGCCTGGGCCAATGATGACATCTCAGCTTTGACAGCATCAAATCTACTAAAGAAATATGCTGAGAAATATTCTGGAATTTTGGATGGTTCCATGGAACGGCCCATTCTCAGTAATTACACTGAAGCTCAATCAGGTCTTGTAAATGGCCGGAAAAATGAAGGTGAACCTTGGCAGAGTTCCTTAAACTCAGAGGGCATATATACTATGAACTGTGTTACTGATGTTATTGCAGCAAGCAAAGCTGGAGTAGGAGCCACTATACCTCCATCAGATGTTTCTGCCAGCATAGGTAGTTCTCCTGGGGTGGGAAGCAACCTGACAGAGGCTAGTTATTCCAGTAGTACATGTGGAAGTCACACAGTACCAAGTCTGCATTCAGGGCTACCATCTCAGGAATATGGAGCGGGATATAATGGATCCTACTTGCATTCAAGTTACAGTAGCCAGTCTGCCTCTGCACTGCCATCACCTCACCCATCTCCACTTCATAGTTCTGGACTTCTGCAGCCTCCTCCTCCACCCCCACCATCTCTAGTTCCAGGCTACAATGGGGCCTCAAACCTATCAAGTTACAACTATCCACCTTCTGCTTATCCTCCACAATCCACTGTTGGGTCAGGCTATAGTCCTGGAAGTGCACCTCCTCCTTCTGCTTACCTCCCATCAGGGATTCCTGCTCCTACTCCTCTCCCTCCCACTACTGTACCAGGCTATAGCTATCAGACCCATGGGTTGACCCCGATAACACCATCTTCTTTGTCTAACAGTTCTGCCAGCTCTCTTAAAAGAAAAGCTTTCTACATGGCAGGACAAAGTGATTTAGATCCCAGCTATGGGAATTATAGTTACAGCCAACAGAGAACCACACATAGCCCCATGTATAGAATGACTGATACAAGTATTTCTAACTCAAATAGGGGAAATGGCTTTGACCGAAGTTCTGAAACAACATCATTAGCATTTAAGCCAACAAAACAGCTTGGGCCTGCTGATCAGCAAAGGAAATTCAGTAGTCAATCAACTAGAGCTCTTACCCCACCTTCATACAGCACTGCTAAAAATTCAAGATCAAGTGAAACTTTTGGAAAATACAACTCTTCTACAATTAGTGAACACAATGATGACCACAGGCAAATGCTCCCACACCCACTACAAGGTCCTGGAATTCATACAGCTACCTCATCCAACCACTCTGTGGACGAACAGCTGAAGAATACTGATACACACCTTATTGACCTTGTAACAAATGAGATTATCTGCCAAGGGCATCCAGTTGACTGGGATGAAATTGCTGGTCTTGATCTAGTAAAGGCCTTCATAAAAGAAGAAGTATTATGGCCTGTAATTCGATCAGATGCATTCAGTGGACTCACTGCTTTGCCTCGAAGCATTCTTTTATTTGGACCTAGAGGGACAGGCAAAACGTTACTGGGCAGGTGCATAGCTAGTCAGTTGGGTGCCACCTTCTTTAAACTTCCTGGCTCTAATATTGTCACAAAGTGGATTACCGAAGGTGAAAAAATTGTCCATGCAACATTCCTTGTTGCAAGGTGTCGGCAGCCATCAGTGATTTATGTTAGTGACATTGACATGCTTCTTTCTTCCCAAGTCAGCGAAGAACATAGTCCTATAAGTCGGATGAGAACAGAATTTCTTATGCAGTTAGATACTGTCCTATCTTCTGCTGAGGACCAAATAGTTGTAATCTGTGCCACAAGTAAACCTGAAGAAATAGATGAATCTCTACGGAGATACTTCATGAAAAGACTTCTTATTCCTCTTCCTGACAGCACAGCTAGACATCAGATAATAATACAACTGCTATCACAGCACAATTACTGTCTCTCTGACAAAGAGGTTGCACTCCTTGTCCAGCGCACAGAAGGTTTTTCTGGACTGGATGTGGCTCGTTTGTGTCAGGAAGCTGTGGTAGGCCCTCTACATGCCATACCACCTTCAGAGCTTTCAGCCATTATGCCCGGCCAGCTGCGACCTGTAACATATCAAGACTTTGAAAATGTATTCTGCAAGATTCAGCCTAGCATATCACAAAAAGAACTTGATACATATATTGAATGGAACAAAATGTTTGGGTGCAGTCAGTGACATACTTGAAACATTGTAATAAATGCTGGCACACAAACATAGGTGATATAGGGAATTGAATTCCTTTTTTGGCAGTGGCCTAATTGTGTAAGTTACCAAGACAGCCCAAGCAACCTTGCATCTGCAGAGTGATGGTAGACTTGAAATAAATGTGCATCAAACAGCCAATGTTCTGAATTGAATCACATGGGACAATGGGTATGTGTTGATGCTTAGTTGTGTTCAAGCAAGCCAACACTCCAAAAGACGTAGGGTGGAAGTAGGTTGACATTGGAACAATGTAAACCTGTTTGTTGATCCCATTCTGCTGTTCTTGAGATTTAGTTGCTGTCAAGTGCCTAAATTGGTGCTTTATTTTATGTTTTTCTTTTGCCTCACAATTACATTGGTGGCATGTGCTAATATGAAAAGCTTTAACTTCAAACATTACTGGACTATAGATCAACAGTTGAGTTGAAAAACAGAGAACAAGATTTTTTGCCATTTTATGAGCAACAGTATTCCTCAATCCCGTCTGTTCTGCAGAACAGTAAAAACAGGGGAAAACATTATCTGGACCTTAATTTCTGCAGTTCCTTTATTTTAATGTTCTGTCTGCAAAAATGACAAAAAAAAAAAAACCTCAGGAAAGTTGATTTGTACAGTACCTCAAAGGAATGTGTTGAAAGCACTATTTACTGCTGAGCAAGATGGTTGGTGTCATTGTTGCTTTATATTATAATGTATGTTTACCTCAAAAATTGGAAAGTGGCATGGAAAATTACTTTGAATGTATTTGGTTAATTCTAAAGAAAAATGGCTGATGTATCGTCATGTTAATTTGTAGCTCATGTCTCCCTATGTAAATGAAACCTTTTAATAATTGCCAGTTATGATATTAAATCAAAGACATTTTCTAAATTCATTTGAGAGGATGATTATGCTCTTTATTTGGCGTTTACTTTTATGGTTCAAAAGAAGTGTCCTAGATTAACTCAACTTCAATTTAACAGCTGTAAAGAACATGGTGACTGGCTTTATTAACTGATTTATTTTCAAAAAGTAATTACTGGTAAGCTCTGACACTGTAGATAGCCTTTATATTTCTTGGCTATATATTAGTTTCAACATCATATGTTGTGCAAATTTCCGGTTGCCATATTGGTCAAGAAGACCAGCAATCCTATATTTAGGCACACTCAAGAATGTCAATTTCCATTTAAGTAAGATACCTAAACACTACAATATCTCTTTAGTACTTCATTATCAAGGATTAGAGGTAGTATGCAAAAGCTGAAAAGTTCCAAAGTTCAATTCATATATGGGCTAAATCGTTCTTAATCAAGACATTGCAACCAAAAACATGGAAAAGTAAATAGAATTTAAAGAGGTGTTTTGTATTATTTGTGTTAATTTCTAAATAAAAAATTACCTATGGGGATCTTGTTGCTGTGTTTGGTTCAGAAGACATACATTTTTACCATGGTTTATCATTATTGGCCAACAAAAGAAATCTTCAATTGCACGAATAGGCTTTGAAAGTCTTAATAAACCATATGCCCTTTCATCTCTAAATAACTCTCTTGCTGATGCTCTTTCTTTTTTCCAAACTGGAAAATTTTGCTTTATTGGATACATTTAATTATACAAATATACTGCTTCGGTTTATATGTTAACAGTGAAATATATTGTGTGAAAATATGCCCTGAGTTGCTATTTTTTTAAGACTGCCTCTACGGGCATCAAAGAGTCAGTCCTTGTTTTTAATAGTTGTATTATTTTTTTGTGTACATTCACTGTGTATTTTACCTTGTTTGAATGCTGTCTAATACTTATGATATTTTTTTCTCCCCTTTCTAACTTCTCCCATCCTCAATTGTGTCTTGGTTTTGTTTATTTTTGTGGTTTCTTTGTTCACTACTTATAATGACAGCTAATTGATGTTGGGTGATGTCTCTGATAGAGGAGCAGTGTACAGGCCACAGATGTCCATGCCTGCCAACTCATAAACAGAACAACCTGGCTTTTTTGAATGTAATGTTTTGTTTACTTTAAATGGAGACAGTAACAATTCTGTTTCAAAGCACTGGCTATTGATGTACATTTGAGAAATTAAATACATGCACTGAACGTCGTAAAGAAGAATTTACATTACTTTTTTTGTTCTTTTGTTTCTGCAAAAATGGGTTCAATCTAACTAAACAAACTTCATCTTGCACTTCCAAAGAAAACAATCACTTTGAAAATTTAATCTGTTTTCCAAAAATAAAGGATAACAACAATAACATTGCGATTGCATGTTTTTGTCTTTTTTTTCTTGAAATTCTAGCTTTATTAGCAACTTGTAATTGTAAATTTTGAAAGTGTCATCTTGGATTCTATCATTGCAGATCACCCACTAAAGTTTTTATAGATGCCTTTAGAATACATATGTTTATTTTTTTTATTTTCATCACACCATATTTTACTAGTTTTTCTAAAGGCATTAAAGCTTTGAGAGACATGAAAACAATAAGAAACAAACATGATAAACTATTGCTATGTGAGCCTGTTAACATTTAGTACAATCTCATCTTAAAGACATAATGATACAATTACTTATTCTCAGAATTTGAGGAATACAACTAGGAAGGAAATGCTTAAATGGCAGACGATCTGAAAAAAGGCCTAGTATATTTATATGCCATATAATTGTAATTATATTGCTGTGTTGCTAAAGTGTTATAAGAATGTGTTTAAACTTTGCTAGACTAATAATTCTGTGGCATGTAACTATCAAAGGATAACAACCTCTCCAGCTCACTTTCAAGTCCCCACATAACATTGGCGTTGATATAATATAAAAATGAAGTAATGGAGATAGAAATATTTAAAGTGTACCTGTTCCCAGACTATGGACATTAAATTATTTACATATTCTTAACAAGCAGTAAAAGAGCTTCACAACAGAGGCAATGAAATAACTCCTATCTCCTTATTTTCTCTTTTGACAGTAATTTGGCAGTCTGCCGACCTTCTAATTTAAACAAATGCTGTTAAAAGCAGACTGAAACACAACTCCAGAGTGTCTGTTGTAAAGTTTGAGAAATAATTGATCCACGTGCATGCAGCTACCAAGACTAGTGAGGGCTTGCTTTAAAGATCTTTACTGATTGTTAAGACTATGTTAATTCCCATATTCTGGGCACAGGCACACTTTAAGATTTTTTGGATATTTAAATATTTTAACACAGAATTTTCATGATGAAATTATAAGGAGAAACTAACAAACATTGTGCCCCCCTTGCACTAAAATGCATGCAGTAATAACCAAAGACATAGAACTAGATCTTTAAGATATTTTCTAAATAAGCTAATTTTAATGTCTGATACTTATTTAGGCTTCAGCTTTTGATTAGGTAATTTGCACATTTATTATTACTTTTATACCAGAAATAAAGCCCTAAATTAATCCTAAACATCCTAGCCGCTTAATGTATACATTATTTTAAAAGTTAGAAAAGAAAAACTTTGCAATACTTACTTTTTCAGGTTCAATCCATGATTAGTTACCTAACTAACAATAGCCAGTTTTATGATGACAGTTAAAAATGTATTAGGAAATGGATGGCTTATTATTGGCTTTGCCCAAATACTTATCTGTATGGTTTTATGTTAAGAGGAACTTTCCTCTTAACATAAAATTACACACATCAGAATTTGAAAACAATTTTATTGCACAGCTTACATCCCTATCCTGGGCTCTCCCAGGATAGGGATGTAAGCTGTGCAATAAAATTGTTTTGCTGGGAGCCTGACTCTGGAACTCTTGCATGAGTGCAGAGAAGTGTGAATAGTGTTACTGGCAAGTGTTTATGCGCATTACTATTACATCACTAAACTCTTCCCACAAAACTTGCAGGGTTATTCACAAAAGGGTGAAGAGTTTGGAAAGGCAGGAGAAGTGAACAATCTAGGCCAAAATAGCTGATTTGGAAAAATTATCCAATTCAGCTCACTTTCCAGTTCAGCTATAATGTCCTGGATTGTTCACTTCTACTGCCTTCTCCAAACTCTTCACCCTTTTGAGAATAACCCTCTTAGTTGATTTGAATTGTATTTCCACTTTTACAGTCAAATTTGAGAAAACCCCTCTATATGTTTGTGTTTCCATTCACACAGCATACCTAGAAATAATGTAAAATAAATATGTCTTGCCTTTCAGGTGTTTCTGTGTAGCTGGCCTTTGCAAACTTCTCTCCATATAAAAACGTGGTGCTTATCCACTTTCACAATGAAATTTGAGAAAATGCCACTATATGTTTGTTGTGTGTTCCCATTCACACGGCATAGCTAATTAGAAATAGTTCTTACCTTTTAGGTGTGACTGTGTAGCTGGGCTTTGCAAGCTTTTCACGCTCTATCTGTATACATAGAGATAGACTAGAGACACTCTGAGCCTCCTTTCATTAACATACAATGCTTCTAGATCTTTAACCCTTTGTTAGGACAGACCGGTGTAGTTTGCAACTGATAATGAGATCTGCCAGCACAGCACAGACAGGGTTCATTAGGTTAAACAATACCTTGCATTCACGAGGAACATTTAGTTTAGAGAAGAACTATTCTTTTAGGAATGAGCAAATAATATGTAAGCAGCAATATTAATTAGTTATGCCATGTGAATGAGAACATGTAACACATATAAAAAAGGTGTTATTGCAAGTTGGCTGCACAAATTGAAGTACACTTTAAACTCTAGCTAGACAACATTTACAGGGTTATTCACAAAAAGGTGAATAGTTTAGAGAAGGCAGGAGAAGTGAACAATCTAGGACAACATAGCTGAATTGGAGAATTTTTCCAGGACAGCTATGTTGTCCTAGATTGTTCACTTCTCCTGCCTTCTCTAAACTATTCACCTTTTTGTGAATAACTATGTTAGTGTACTTAAACACAATGTACCACATGTATAATTGCTATGTTTTTTTCTTAAAATACTACTTTCTCCTCATTTGCATCTCATGGCTTATCTCCTCCAGCCTCTTTCAGCCACTACCTATCTACGTGCCTTTACTTTAGCACCGGCTGTACATCTTTGGACCAGTATCCTGATAGTGATAATGGTGAAATATGTATGTACAAAGTATATCGGCACGAGTGCTTGTATGTTCGATCAGGGGTGCATGTGACCAGGTGAAAATGCAGGAGCACAGTTGGGAGAAAGTTGTCATCATATACCAGTAAGTACCTGAACAAGGACCTTTGAGGCAGGATCACTGGGTATTATTTTGATAAAAGCTAAAGATTTAAAAATGGAAAATTACTTTTGGAAACCCAGTAACATATTAAAGCCAACATACAATTTTAGTGATTGTATTTAGATCCACCTTGTCAAACTCAAATGCAACAGTGGGCTGAACAGAGTGAAATAAACCTTTAAAGGGACACACTAATATGTCTACTGAGGACCACACCTAATTCATTTCAGAATTTTATTAATCCCCAACTTATGTAAATAATTCAGACATTTATGCATTGCAGGACAGCTAAGGCCTCTTGATATTTAAATCTCTGAACCAACTG